TATTATTTTAATGAAAGATTATAGAGAACTTGGCTTTCCATTCATTCATTGTTGCACCTTTTCCTCCCTGCCCACCCTTCCCCCACAGTTTGCTTTTCTCTTTGAAAAGAAAAAAAAAATTATTTCAGTGTTATACAATCCTCCTCCCAGTCCACTTTACTATGCATCCCTTATTCTGGACTCTTGCCATGCAAATAACACTTAATCATATATCTCTTTTAAACAGTTCTTTCTCTCATCTCTTTCAATTCATTGTACATTATTTACCTCTTCTTTTCTTACTTTCCCTGAAACCCGATGTCAGTCCTGTTTTGTAACAGTGGCATTATGCAGTATTTATTCTTTTGTGACTGAGATACTTCAGTCAGCATAATATTCTCTAGCTCACCAATTTTGTATAATATTTCATGAGTTCCTTGTTTTTCAATGCTGCATAGTATTCCATTGTGTGAATATACCATGGCTTCTCTATCCATTCATTTGTTGATGGACACTTGGGTTGTTTTTAACTCTTTGCTATTGTGAACAAAGCAGCAAAATGTAGATGTGCATGGAATGTGTTTCTTTTTAAATTTTTTTCTTTAAATTTATTTTATTTAATTATTTTTTGTGTGTACTGTCAAATCAGATCTGACTGTACAGGAGGAGACCGTTCCTCCCTCTCCAGCAGAGCATCTGGTGGACCCGAACCGTGCACCTCTGAGACCGCAGTTGCAGCTCCTTGACACTAGGCCACCAGAGCTCGCCGGAATGTGTTTCTTAAGATAATTTTTTAAAAAGAAAATATTTATATTGGTTTACTTACAAAGTTCATATACATTGTTTTTCATTCTGGATCTTTCCCATGTCTTTTACCCATGCCTCTTTCCATCCATCAAATTGTGCAACAAGTTCAAAAGAACAGTATTTGCCCAAAAGCAAAGATGAGAAAGAGGGTGATGTCAGGGCTGTGAGCTGCTTTCCCTCTCTTTACCAGAACAGCCACAGGAATGATCAAAGCAGCAGCTGCAACTCTGTTTATCTCTGTTAGAGCTGCAAAACTATTCCTCCTCCCTTTCCCAGGAATAACTCTTCACAACCCCCAACTTGCTCCCTTATCTTGTACCAAGCAGCTACAAACATCCTAACTCCCAATTTCCTTCTAAGACAATATAAAATTCTGCTGTAACTTTAAGTAGTTGCTGGTTTCTGCTTTCCAGCCAGCCCTGCAGTTTCTCCTCAGTAAACAGTCTTTCTTGGCCTGAACTGGGTTCTGTTCTTCCTCTGCAACCTTACAGACGGGATACAAAATTTCGATGAAAAGAAACAGGGAACCAGGGAGAGGTGGGTAGAAGGCTAATAGATTTTTTAGGAATGGAACTCGTGCCATGAAACACCTGATACAAACCAATTTGCCCTGTAAACGTTCATCTAAAATAAAAAAAATGTATTAACACATAAGAAATGATGGAAGTATACAAGTGTTCAGGTCTTTCGTTCATAGGGTCACTATGAGGCATCTTACAACTCTATGACACTTAACAACAACACCAACATAGAGAGAGTTCTGTGGGCCTGGTAGATAAAAAGTTAAGCTACCAAGTCAAAGGCAGATGATTTTAATCTGTGGCCCTCAGGCCTGGTCTTAATTGTTTTTAGTCAAACATTCTTCTAAGTGGTATAGCACTGGTCTGTCCATTTGCTGTACAGAGATAATGCGTGGTTGCTGTGGTGCTAAACACTGTGACACTGATGAGTCAAATTCGATAATGGTTACCCATGGTGGACAGTGTTTGGTGGAGCTCCCCAATTAAAACAAGTTTGGAATCAGGAGTGGCATCCGCTTCTGAAATAGCTTGCCTCTGAAATAGCTTGCTTCCAGAAACTCCATGAACTTGGAGAAATGATGAAAGTTATACAAGTGTCCATGTCTTTCGTTCATAGGGTCACTATGAGTCATCTATGACTAAGCGGCACTTAACAATGACAACAACATTTCCCCCCCTGTTATGGTAAGTATTTGCTGCCAACCCAAAGGCAGGCAGTTAAAATCTACCAGAATCTCTGAGGTAGAAAGATGGGCAGGTCTCCTCCTTTGTGATTTACAACCTCTGAAAATCTACTGGAGGGTCAGCTATGAGTTGGTTGTTTTCTTGATGTTGAGCTTCAATCCATATTGAAGGCTGCAGTACTTGACCATCTGCAACAAGCGCCTCAAGTCCTCCTCAGTCTCAGCAAGCAGGGTTGTATCATCTGCATAACGCAGGTTGTTGATGAATCTTTCACCAATCCTGATGCCACATTCCTCCTCATACAGATCTAATAATCTCCCTTTGAAATACTCATATTATCTAACATCTCTCTTTCATCACTGTCAAGTCAGAATTGAATCACAGCTGACCTTTCAGGGTTTTTTTAAAAGTAAATCATAAGGGAGGAAATTTTCCATCTTTTTCCCTCAGAGAAGCTGGTGGGTTCAAACTGACTGCCTTTAAGTTGACAGTGCAATTCCTTATCCACTAGGCTACCAGAGCTTACAGCATATGTCTACCAAAACTCATTTATTAGTTTCGAGCTAGAAGGGAATTATAGCCCTAATCTTTCACCACAGTGTCCTTGTTTTGAAATATTTTTGTCGAAACAAATGTGATGTTTTGAAAAAGAATTTTCTTTCTTTTTAAAAAAAAATTAATCAGACATGTATGACTACCAACTAGAAATTCTGATCAACATGAAGTATCCAGGGTTACTACAATGAGTAATTCCTACCAGAAGCTAACACAGAGACAAACTAACAGTTCTCTTATTGTGGATCGGTAGTGTGAAGCCATCCCACTTGTGAATGTGTGACTTCTCTTAGCAGTGGTACTGAGAATAGCTCTTTAGCTACCTCTGAGGATTTGAGATTGACTCTGGGAACAGTGAGGTAGGCCTTCCCCTTTATACAACGAAACGTACCAGTTAAGCAATGAAGCCAAAACAAGAACTCAGGTAAATGCTTGATATATCCCAGTGTTCCAGTTTGGCCCTTTTAAGCTGTTTTCTATCAGAAATAGGAAGCTCTGGTAACGATTCTCTAGCAGAAACAGAGAACTCTAGTCTAGTGACCAAGTGATAAGAAGCTGCGCTACAATCCCAGAGACATGAGGTTCGAATCCATCAGCAGCTCTGTGGAACGAAGAAGGGCAATCTCCTCCCATGCAATTTACAGCCACTGGACGGTTAGCTACGGATAGGTTCTGACTCGACAGTACCCAACAATAACAACAGCTAGTAGAAAACAGGTCCTGGAGGAACTTGGCTAAAACTGATGTCTTTATTTTAAATGGAGCCCTTGCATGTGGTAGATGCTTATTACACGTTCCTGGGGTGAATGAGTGCCAAGAGTAGGCCAAGAGGCTAGAAGTCGTTTCAGGGAACAGAATACTGGTGCTCAGACTGCCTTGTTGTTGTTTTTAGGTGCCGTTGAGTTGTAGACAACTCATAGTGAGCTTATGAATGAAAGACGTGAACGCTTGTATAACTTTCATCTTTTCTCCACATTCATAGATTCCAGAGGCAAGCTATTTTGGAAGACTGCCTTAGCAGTCAGTATAACGTCCAACCAGGACTTGAAAACTGACAACATTTTGAACAATCTCTCTAGCATGTTCCCTCTTTTTTCTTTTGGCATTTTTCACCTCACAATCCAAGCTACA